GTGGAAGCTTATTGAGGAGCATCAATTCCCTGGATGAATATTAAATTTATTTTGCTGCACTGAAAATATTCTTCATTAAGTGTGTAATTGAACAAACTTACTATTATTAATAATAGTTTATATTATTACATTATTATAATATTATAACAATATATTGTAAATTTATTATAATTAGTATTAAGAAAAATACAAAACTCATAATTTATTATTATATGGTTATCATCATCGTCATCGTCTGTCTGCTGGCTTTAACTGAGACTAGACTGCTTATTTAGTATACTGCATGTAGGAAAATGCCACACATAGAAGGTTCTCTAGGAGGAATGGAGACAATAACCCTTAAGTAAGAAATCATTCTTTTCAGCTGTTTCTTGAGTATTTTTCTCAAGCCCCTGTGAATTTGTGTTGGGGCCAGGTAAAACTTGTTTCTGATTATCTGACACCTCAGCATTTTTCACAGATTGAAACTGGCTAATAAAATTTCAGTTTCTTCACTAATAACAAAAGCAAGAGTCCATCAGCTGTAATTTCAGGCCATGAAGGTGATTGTATCGAGCAAGTTCCTTATGACTTGCTGGGGTTTACATTTTGCAAGATCAATTAGAAATATATGTGTTTGTTTTCTTATTATTTCTAGGAATAAATGCCAGAGTAGACTGTCTCTGGAAGCTGAATACTCATAACACTTCCAAAGCCTAAAGCAAATTAATGAGTTTCAGTTTCCGTTTTAAACTGAATTAAAAATAAAAATACTTCTATAATTTGCCATATATTATAGTCATTGTAGCATATCAGTAAAGGGGAATAGCCTCATCTTTTTCATCACATGTACTTTCAATTTAGTCTACTTACATTTTTTATATTCAGCTTTAAAAACATCTGTCTGCACACAGTGTTCTTGATACATCTATTCCTGTAAGAGGCTTTTCCCCCTCCTCCATTACACAATTTCTTTTTCTTTTCATGGTTGAACTTCCTCCTTTTTGGCCAGGAGCCTTAGGCAGTCAGTGTGATGTCTCCCAAGAGCTCACACCGCAGGGCCTTGGTTATTCAAGGCCAAGGTTTTGCGTATAGCCATGAGCTTTACTCAAAGCTCCTTTCATAATCCTTCCTTAATACCCATGGCTGGTGAGTATCCCTCTTCTGAGGATTTTCTGTGAAAATGATGTTTATACAGCCAAGACAGCAGATTGATGATAAATCAAAGAATACAAGTTTTTCTCTCAGGGTGGACTAAAAGTACTGTCTCTGGAGCACAAATGTTGCTCTGAGCTTTTGCCCTGTCAGTCACAATGCGAGCGTTCATTAGTGTTTGAGATGCCTCACCTTTGTTGCTATTCCAATGCTCTAATAAATATGAGTTCTCTGTTTATGAGCTGCTGCCACCACCTATTTTTATGATACCAAAGAAAGTATATATCAGATCATATCCTCTGTTATTATCTACTCATGGTTATTAAGCCTTCCTTTTTTTTTTAATTGTTTTTTTTTTTCAGATTAATGCCAAAAATGAACCATTAAACCAAGCTAAGGAAAGGGAGACACACTGAGAAATTCAGCCTCTTCCTAAAGCTGCTACACATTTCCTGGGAGAGCTGAAATCTCCTCTTTTAATGAAATGCCAGCTTTTGGTTGGAACTGCTTGTTTCAGTTACTAAGAAATAAGGGGAATCATGCAATGGTCTAAGAAACAAGGATGCCTCCTAGATTACTTAAGTTTCTTGTGAAACTTTTATAGCTATGTGAATTTACAAGGATATTTCTCTTTTCAAAGCTCATGAGAGTTGCTTGAGAACAAAAACTTGAGTAAAATTGTAACCACAGTGTGCTGGACTAGGCATGCGAGCATAGCTAAATGCAAGAACCTTTCATATTTTTAGCAAGAAGTACCTCAAGATGAGCAGTTGTGCTAATGTTGCAGCCTCTGACCTGATTTTCCTTCATCATGGCTACACCTTTTTTGGTGTTTTCCACAGAACGCTTGACTGGTTTGGGTTGGAAGGGACCTTAAAGTTTATCCGGTTCCAACCTTCTGCCATGAGCAGGAGCACCTTCCACTAGACCAGGTTTCTCCAAGCCCCTTCTAACCTGGCCTATTCGCTACTAGGAAGCTCTTTTTCATCATGTCATTTGTAGTAGTCACATAGGAGACTGTTTTCTATGTCATTCTGCTTCACAAACATTATCTTGTGGAACTGGCTGTCTGTGGCAGCAGGAATAGTGTGCAGATGTTCTCTAGGATCTGTGTGAACTCATCACGAGAAATAAAAAGGACTGGTCCATCTGTCCTCCTTCAAAAGGAGGCGTTTTTTTCTCCCAAGCTATGCAAAGCCATCACCCTGCATGGTTTTGCATTTCTGCACTGTTGATTAGTTAGGTAATAAAAAGTGTTGCATGTCTTCTGTTTCCTATGGCTCCTACTCAGCTGTGGAAAGAAATATCAAGTAATGTAACCACTTTCTTCCAAATCTCGGGCCAGAATCTCAGCTGGTGTAAGTCAGCAGAGTTCCACTGACATTATTAGTACTCCAGTGATTCACACCAGCTGTGGATCTGGTCCTCTGTCTCAATTTATGAAGGGAACTAAATGTCAGGAAATATGAAATGATTCCTTATATAGTCAGCAGTTCTCCAGATGTGTTAATGGAGTTTAAGTTTACCAAAAGGCAAGATTTAAAAAAGTGATCCAATGGAAGAATAAACTTTCAAGAAGAATGCCTTGCTCACAGGCTTTTTGGCACGAGAGGATATACAACTCACTGCAATTTAAAGAAATTAACTCAGTTGTGCATAAGAGTATCGTAATACAGCTTCAATGAGAATCCAAGACGCAAAATACTTGCACAGCACAAACCAAGCTGTTGGCATTTAGTGAATAATTGCCATGCAAACAGGAATCATCAAGTCTTAAAACCAAAATTAAGTTGCTTATGAACTTCATGTAAAGATATTAATGCTTCTACTTTGCAAGTATAGTTGGATTTACACACAGGCATTCTATTGCAGCTTTTGGAGATTAAATGAGGACCATGTTATTACAAGAACACAGAAGCTTAATAGTTCAAGCTGTGTAATGTTAAAACTCAACAGTGGTTTGGGTTATAGATGTGATTTCATGTACAGTGTTGAAAACAGTTATTTTAGCCAATGAGGACTGTTGTTGAAATTGATTCAGCACTGTCAGACTTACTTTTCAAAATCAGAAAGTTCTGGAATGCTTTAGATCAGCCTAGAAAAGGAAAAAACCACACATTCACTGATTAAACTATAGTGTCACACTGTGTTGTTGTAGGTTACCTATATTTTAAAAAATAAAAATAAATTAGGGTACAAATAAGTTGATTGATTGCAAACAATCAGAACAGCATGGAGTGATATGATCTTGCTGAGCAATCAGTGGCTAAGGGTTCTATTCTGGCAGGTTTGTTTCATGGTTAGTCTAAGTGACTTCTGATGAGGCACACATCTGTCTCGATGTCACTGAGCCAAAAGGAAAAAATGCTTGGACGTAATTTATTCAGACCTGAAGGAAAGTGTTTTATAAGGGTTTACAGAGAAAGCTAGTTAGACTTCCAAAGAGAGTAATTCTCCTAATCTAAACACACTGGTAGATTGAAAGTAGTGATTTCAGAACTGCAGTGACATTAGATTGCTTTTGCATGCGTTATTGTAGCAAGGCCTCATATGATAAGGTTTGAGGGTAACACTTGCCATCACTTCTGTCTAGTTTTTCCCATCCTGGTGGCTGATCTGTTTGCCTTGGCAATGTACTGATTTTTCATATTCTGTCAGGATTACACCAGTGGATTATGCCTGGGCATGAAGCCATCAACCCTTAATGGTACTCCAATCAGTTCAAAATCATATCATAGAATCCCATCATGGAAAGGTTTGGGGTGGAGGGGACCCTGAAGCTCATCCAGTTCCACCCCCTGCCACAGGCAGGGACACCCTCCGTTTGACCAGGTTGCTCCAAACCCCGTCCAACCTGGCCTTGAACACTGCCAGGGGTGGGGCAGCCACAGCTTCTCTGGGCAACCTGTGCCAGGGCCTCACCACCCTCATAAGGAAGAGCTTCTGCCTAAGAGCTCATCTCAATCTCCCCTCTGTCAGGTTAAAGCCATTCCCTCTTGCCCTAAAGGTCACTGTCTAAAGCCCCTCTCCAGGTTCTTGTAGGTCCCCTTGGAAGGCTGTTGCAAGGTCTCTTCTGAGCCTTCTTTTCTCTAGGCTTGATGTCCTTCATGAGGACAGTCAAAGGAGTGCTAAACAGGGCAGATAGATGCAATGTGGCATGTTATTCAATGTCATGGGTGTCTGATTCAGGCGTTTTCAGATTCAGTTTTCAGGTAGGACTCTGTGGTGTCCAGCAATCTAAGGGCAAACCCACACCCAAGCAATCCACATGTCAGTGAATTGCAAGTGCTCCTATTTGCATACATTTATAGCAAATGTAAGCATTACACATGTTCAGGGGAAGGCCAGGGATTTGAAAGTTCCCAAATATATGGACTTGTGTTATAGAAGGATTTTCTTCATTTGCCTTTGTTTTCTTCTGCTCTAGTTTTGTAGAAAGGCAGCATCTTACCTGTGAGGCAGCTTAGTCTGATTCTTCAACATGCCTCCATGTCAAACTGATGGACAACAGACACATGCTTAGTGACAGGGAAAAAATAGAGACTCAGAGAGCATTATCCTCTGCAGTAACAGAAGAGCAGATCCTTTCCATGTTTTCTGCATTTGTTCTGCTCTCCCTAGCTCTCCATGTGTAAATTGTGGGTGAAATAGTCATTATCAGGGTCCCAAAACCTGTAACAAAATAGCTGAAACCCTGACATTTATAAGCTGAAGTTCATCTGTTTGTTTTACCATTGCCATCTCAGCGAGTAATCAGGTCTTACATAAAGCTCAAAATACACTATTAAATGGTTACCTTGGTGCTGTGTATGTTGGAACTGTTTGTATCTAAATTTGTTTCAAATTTCTTTTCTTTATATTTCCAGACCAGTTCTGGCCTCACAGAAGACATTGGAGAAGCATTCCCTGGATACTATGTCTCTCGAAACGCTGGGAAACAGTTGTGAGCCGGAGGATCTATTTGATGACATATAGCTATGTGCTAGATGAGAAACCAACAGACTGCTGCTTCTGATAGAGATAAGCTGTAAAACTAAAAGGCTTTGTTATAGCCACTGAGCCAAAATCTTTACTCTGAGGTGGTACTCAATGACATATTGCTCTAATTCTCTTGTGCTGCACTTGTCCCCATTCTTTGCTATGCTATCATAGACCCTTGGCCTGCTAAACTTGATTTGTGATGGTCTGGAAATATGTTTAGCCTCTGTGTAGATCTCTTATCATGTGTATGCAGGGAAGGGGAGCTCCATTTTTACTTCCTAACAGTCTCTGGCTGCTGATTGTATCTAGGATCAAATGGTTTCTAGGTGTCCCCAGAGAATGTCAGATGTAAACAAGATGAAGGCTATCACTGTCCTTATCTTATACACTGCCCCTTTCTTGAGAATCTCAGCATAGATGTGGTCTAGCTAAATCATCTTCAACTTTGACTGATATAGCTTCCTAAACTGTGAGTTAGAATACCTTCTGACTTGAAGCATCCAAAGAAATGTCCTTTCACTTTTTACTTGGATGTTCTCTGCTGCGTTATGCGTTGTAAGATATTCTTGCCTTTCACAGTAAAGTGCATATGAAGTCAATATTGACTATATTGACTATATTCTATATTCTATAGAAACCCAGAAATAGAAAGCCTTTAAAATTGTAATTTTTGGTCCTTCATTATTTTTCTTGAAGTGATTTCTAAAAAAAATAAAATGCATTCTAAAAACACATCAATTTTAGTTTTATTTGCTTAGAAAGTCTATGAGTAAAGGGGCTAGTTAGCAAAGTATGTTATTGTATGACCTTCTCCTGCCCAAAGCTGATGCATTCATTTAGATTTAAGGCTTTATCAAAGAAGAAATTAGCCACATGTGTTTACCATCAGCAGTCAAAATCAAGTACTTGTACAGAACTAAGCAGACATGTTGCCATTTTTTTAATTGCTTTGCGATCTTAAGAATCAATTCTCATTTAAGGCAGAGGGAGCCAGTTTTTCCGTCTCAAAAAAGATGTCATTCAGCAAGTGTTTTAAACACAGGAGTAATCCCATTAAAGTCATCAGAACTATGTGACATAGTCCTGCTTCTGTGCTCTGTGGCTTGCAATGGTCCTTGGAAGCTAGCTGGTATGTTTGAAATGGTGGCTTATTTAGGCCCTGATTCTCCCAAAATTCAGTCCTGTATTTAACTAAAAGCATCCTCGTCAGTATTTTCAGAATCAGGGCCTCATTTAAGAACCTACACAAGGATCTGGGTATATTATATTTAATCACTCCTTTCTGAAAAACATGGTCACAGCACTTTAAATTCACAAAGGGCTTTGGGACAATGTTGTAAATCACACACTAAAAACATGAATGACCAAAATATTTTCCTTGCTACAAAGGCTTTGTGCCTGGGAAATGACAGGACCACAGAAGACCTATTCATACACCCATTCATAGACACTGCCTGATTTAAAATTTTCCAGTGCTGATCTGACAATGCTTTCAGCAAAAGCTCGTATATAGTTTCAGTTTTAATGTGAAAATGTTCCATGACTTAACCCAAAATGCAAGAGCTTGGTTTAATTGTGCCTGGAGCAGAAAATGAAGGTAAATGGAGCTGAATATCCTGCAAAACTCTTGCTTTCAAGAAACTATTGGTTTCTGATAGTAGAATGTTTTGTACGTAGAAAATAGTATCACGTAGTTGCAGATGCAGTAAAGTCTGTCTGAATAGTTATTCTTTTCCCTTTTTTTGAGGTTTGTAGAATCAAACAAGGAGCTGAGCAGAACATGACATCATGGTAGATACATGCCTTCACTTGTGTGAGCACACATTTGTCATCTGAATAGGGTAGCCACGGTACAGAGCCAGTTTCCAGTCAGCTGAGACTTTTCGTCTCCCCTTGAAGCCTCCTTACAATATGTCAGTCTCCAAAACCACATGAGAAGTTAGTGAAGTGCTCCTTTATGGATTTATGTGAGAAACTATTGCTTTTCTGCTGATAAAGTTCCATTTTCCAGTTGACTTTGAAGAGGAAATACCCACAAAAATGAGCACAAATTGTTTGTGATGGCTGAGGTAGTGTTGCAGAAGATCAGTGGAACTTCCTTATAATGCATGTTTGTCCACAAGAAGTGGGGACGTCTGCTTTATCCTCAGACTCATTCATCCCAAGGTATTGAAATGGAAGACCCAGTGATCTTCATTGACAAAGCCAAGTAAAATGTTTTTCAAACAAACCTGTGATGTTTGGAAAGGAAACTCAGTAGTAAGGCCTCATGGCATAGAACATATTTCTTAGAAACCTAAATTAATATGATACTCAGTGCTCTTTGATTTAGTCTCTGAGAAAAGCTGGGATCTTTGCTATCCTTTGCTTCCATGTCAATGGAGTTCTGGCTGCAGGGGCTTTCCAAAGCTTGCAGAGCAGGTTTCCCTTCAACACAGCAACAGACAGTGCTCCTATTCATATACTGACTATAATGTTAATCTACTTCACAGTGGCATAACATCTAGTTTATGTTCATGCTGTGATCCACCATAACCCTTGGATTCTTTTGTGCAGTGTTACTGGGAAGTCAGTTGGTTTTCCATTCTGTGTTTCTGCAGCTCACTATTCCCATATGGGTTTAGTAACTGGCATTTAACCCTATGGACCTGCACCCCATTTTTGTACATGAGTCCAGTGGTTTGTCAGGATGATTTTGAATGCTCCTTTCTCCTCAATTTGGTATTATGGGTGAACTTAGTAAGTTCTTATTTTCTAACATCCAGACCACTAATGAAAACATTGAACAGTTCTGGCCTTAAGCTTCACTCCATTCATCCTTCTGTTTAGTAGAGGTACTAAACTTAGACTTACTTTGTGAGCATGGTTTTCTAACTCACCTTTTGGCCTTAAGCTTCACTCCATTCATCCTTCTGTTTAGTAGAGGTACTAAACTTAGACTTACTTTGTGAGCATGGTTTTCTAACTCACCTTTTGGAAGACCACATTTTCCAGATGTCTCTATAAAACTGCCACATGAAATAGCCTGACATGAGATGTCAGTCAATTGCTTCTCCCCTGTCCAAAATATTTTAGTGGTGACAGACGACAAAATAGACAAACATGCCCTCAAATGATTTTTCAAGACAGGAAATTAGCCAAAGTTATCAGATCAAATTTCAAAGGCCATACTTAATTAATACTTCTCTTTGATACTACGCTGCAAAAGATTTCCCAGGTAATTTTTGTTTTAGCTTGAACTGTACTGTTGGGAAAGATAAAACATGTAGTTGTTTAACAGGAGGAAAACCATGCTCTATTCCATTGAAGGCTTAGACTCATCTACAGTTTTATACTTTTAATGTAACTACTTAAACAGAATGTCTGTTTTGTGTGTAGTAATTTTCCTTTTAAGGTCTCAGTTTACCCAGGAAATTTTTTAGTTCAAAAGGATTTACAATTTTTTTTTCAAGAGAGGAAAAAAAATTCTTCTGTACAAAAAAAGAAAAAACAACAACAACAACAACAAAAAACAACACCAAAAGTTAAAAACCCAAAATCCCTATTTTGGGGGGCAGTGCTGTCTAAAAGTATTGCCTTTGGGATAAAAGCATTATTTTGATATTGAGGTAATGTTTTGACAATCTATATCACTATTTTAATTGCCTTCTCACTATTATCCCCAAAAGTGGGCACTCTTGTATATATATGTGTGTGTTAGATATGTTGTTCTTCCTTGCTTTGTACGTGTAACATATAGATGCTTGTGTGTATAAACATGGTTCTCTGGGAGTGTTTAGCACAGTCTAGCCAGCTTTGACAACTTGTGCAGTTTGATCTAGCGGCCTGGAGGAACTTGAGGAAAGAAAAAGCCTTCACACATGGGAATTCACATGCTGCTAAATGTTTAAGGTAAAGCTGCTTTTTTCTGGCTTGCCATCTGCTTTTTGGGAAAAATAAAATGTGGAAACAGTGAAGTAAGAATCATAGGAAAACAAGGCAATAAAAGCATGTCCAGACTGCTTAGAGACTGAAGGTAATATATTTGAACATCTTCTGAGCAATGCTAATTTAGAAAAATGTTCCAGGAGCTGGTTATCCTACTGAAAAAAAAAAGCAACTAGGAGATGTTTCCATCTTCTGGAAATCCTCTTCTATTCCTTCTTGTCTCAGTAATCCATCACCAGTTAGTACCCCTTTTCTGCTAAATGTTTTTCTGCTCTAATTTTATTCTAATCCCCTTCACAAAGTCTGGGGGCTCATCAAACCTTTTTCCTAAATTTCTTTTTGGTGAGTTATCATCCTCAGTCTCATTCCTTTTCCACATAATGTTGGTCAACATAAGAGTTTTCATCTTGCTCTGACCATTAAATTATTTCCCTGCTATTATAAGCACACTCCAAGACCAGTTTAATTGATAAAATCTATGAGATCAGTCTATTAGTTTTAGGAAAATTAAGCACTGTGTATTTTTGAACACTCCTGAAAAGGGAAATACTAAACAGAAGGAAGATTACTTCTGGTGGTCCTCAGAGATGATTCCTGGGACCAAACTCATTCATCATTTTAATCAGTGGCATTGGCACAAGAAGTGGTAACTCCAACAAAACCTGTTGATGGTGTGTATGTGGAAGCCTTATGAAAAATAGCTGATTCTGTTTTGACGTAAAAGTAGCCACCACCTCTGAACAGCATACAAGTTGAAGTTTCTGATGGATGTTGTGTCATTGAGATTTGTATGCCTGCACAAAAAGGATGACCATACTATCTTCAGGTTACTTCTTGGTAAGGGAGGATAGCTCTGTTTTACGTTTTTATGGCTCTGTTTGTCTTGTGCAAAAATATTTAGCTGAAGACGATCTTGCCGTCATATAATTCCCAAACAGAATGAATTAAATGTCACAGAGCCACAGGACAGCTGGTGTTAGAAAGGGACTCCTCTGAAGATCATCTAGCCCAGCGCTCAGAGAAGGGTCAACCATAGCATTTTGCTCATGCTGTGCCCAGTCTGTTGTTGGCATTTAATAAGTAAGTAGAGAATTAATTTCATCTACAAGCTTTACTATAAATAGCAGCTATGGATGTAAATCACTCTGTCTGCTGGGATTTTATGAAGCTTTCTGCATTCTCCTGGCAGCACCACTACTGAATTCTGAGTCCCATCCTGCTGTGTGTCTGTCTTCAATGCTTGCATGCACCCTGGTCTTGACTTAATGCCTCCGCTAAAACTTAAACAAGTGGGTCCTATCTGGAATAGTCTTCACAATTAGGAAGCAAATACATTAAACAGCCTTCATATTTAAGCTGAAAATGGTGTGCTTGTTGTCCTGTTTCTGAAGGTCCTTTCCCGCACAGAACTGTCATTTATTTGAGAGGGACTGAGAGGAATAACTGATGGGAAAATTTAGGTCTGAGGTAGACATCCATTCTAGTACTTTATGAAGGGCATGAAGGTACATATTTAATTATCTATTTTATGCAATTACTAATACAGTTTTTGTCATGTAATAGTCATGTAGTCATGCAGTAGTACTACAGCATGATTTACCCATGTTGCTCTGAGTAAATTAAATAACATCACATCATCCTTCTTTTTCTGCTTAATTATCACTTGGAAGTCCTGCCTCTCATTTCTAGTGCATGGTTCTCATTCACATTGGTTAAGCATGAGCCCTGAATTTAATCAAAGCATCCACCCCAATTTTCTCATGTAGCCTATTAGCTTCTGTTTCCTTTCTGGCTGTTACAAGA